GGAAAGCAGTGGTAGGAGGGTAGGCAGTAAGGTAGGCAGTAAGGGAGTAGGTGGTAGGAAAGGAAAGCAGCTTGCCCCTGCCACGTGCCCCTCCCTCACACCCCTTTGTGCATGGCCCTGCTATCTCTACACCCCCTGCCTTTCACCTTTCTCCCTGCTCCAGCACTGGCAGGTTATATCCATGTTCCAGTCTGGGACACAGAGCATAGCCCCAGCCTGGCCCTGTAGTAGCTGCATGAATCCAGCAACACTGCCAGTGCTGCACACCCCAGGCCAGAGCTGGAATGGAGTCTGTCAGCCAAGGGTAAGCATGAGGGGATAGGGAGGGGGGAAGAAAAGGGGCAGAGGCAGGGGGGGGCAAGCAGAAGATGCAGCTGCAAGTGCAGCTGCAGCTTCAGCTCCAGCCCAGGGTTGGAGCCAGAACCTAAGCCTATGTATGCGGTAACAGCTGCTTGTCGTCGTTCCCCCCCTGCAAAATCCTCCCCCCCTTGCTTTCAAATACAAAAAAGTATTTGCTTTCAAGAGTAGGGGGTTTTGTCCCCATGTTAAATGGGAAAAAATCCGCATCTTGGAATCAAGTAAATATGGTAATTTCCTCCTTTAGCAGGCTAACTGGCCTAGTGAATAAGGCAGACGCACTGGATGGAATATATCTTCACTTTAATGTGGCTTCTAACACAGTCTCAAATAACACACTCAGAAACAAACTAGGAAAAGACAGGCCTAGATGTCATCACTATAAGACGTGCTCACAACTAGCTGAGAAATCACTCAAAGAGCAACTATAAATGGTTCGCTGCAAAAGTGGGAGGGCATTTCAAGTGCAGTGAAGCAGGGGTCTGTTGTTTTCAGCCCAGTTCCATTGCAATATTTTCATTAATTACTTGGATGGTGCAATAGAGAGTACACTTATAAAATCTGCAGACAACGCCAAGCTGAGAGGTGTTATGCTTATCTTGCTGGGGTCCTTTGACCCTAATTGACTTTCTGCCCCTGGGGCAGGGGGCTGGACTTGATGATCTTTGAGGTCCCTTCCAGCCCTAATGTCTATGAAATCTATGAAATAAACACTCAGGAACACAGACTCAGAATTCCAAATGATCATCCAAATTGGAGGGAATGGTCCAAAATGAACAAGATGAAATTCAGTAAAGACAAGTGCAAAGTGCTACACAAATACAAATGGGTAGGAACAAGGGTACAGAAAAAAAAGGATCTGAAGGAGACTGTGGATCACAGGCTAAACTAGACTCTACCCAATTCTGCAACACTATTTTAAAATGTTTTAGACAAAGTGGAGGTAGCACAGAGGAGATGAACAAGATGTCAGGATGGCTTCTGAGAGAAGACTGAAGGAACTAGATGTATTTAGTCTAGAAAAGAAGAGACTGAAGGGGACCATGAAAACAAATTTCCAGTACCCATGGGATTGTTACAAGGAGAGCAGCAGGGACCAGTTGTTCGCTATAGTTACCAAGGAAATGGTGACAGGAGAAGGATCAGTTTAATTTGGAGTAGGAAAGTTTTACATTGGATATTAGGAAAAGCTTTCTGACAGTAAAGATAGTAAAACAGTGAAACAGGCAACCTAAGGGATGTTGTAGAAAGCTCCAGTGAAGGTGTTAAGCCCAGGTTACACAATCCACTATCAAGGATGGTCCAGATCAGCATTTCTCAACCCGTGGGTCATGACCCAAAAATGGGTTGCAAGAACATATGAAAGGGTCACGAACAAACTTTAAAAATGGAATCTCCTTTAAAGGAGAAAAATGTGGGAAACTGTGGCTTTTCCCTAGCAGGCTGGCACAGTTCCAGCCTGCAAGGTGCTGCTTGGCCCCCCCCTGCCCCACACACTGAGGGGCTGGGTCCTAGGGGAGGGGCTGGGAGTGAGGGGCACCGGGATGAGGTTGGCCATCAATGTTTACAAATGGGTCCTGGTACAAAAAAGGTTGAGAACCACTGGTCTAGATAAACTTGATCCTGCCTTATTGCAAGGGTCCCTTCTAGCCCTACACTTCTCTGAAAACTGGCACGGTCCTCCCTCTGCTCAGCAAAATCCTACCAGAGTGCAGATTTTGGACAGATTCACTCAGATCTTAGCTGACGTCCATCCTTCATCCAGTGCCTGCAAAAGGACCTCTCTAGCTGGGCACTATGGGTGCCTACACATGTGCTCTGATGTGTTCTAATTAGAACGTATCGGAGCAGAGCGTTCCAATTAGAATGCTCCAGCAGCACATGTATTCAGCATCCCACATTTCAAATGGTGGCAAGGGCAATTTAATTAAAACTTGTCAGACAAGCTTTACTTAAAATGCCCCTGCTGCCATTTTGAACTGCAGGATGCTGAATACACATGACACAGCAGGGTTTTAATGAAAGTAGCTGTCCAGGAGCCACTCCTATTAAAACTCTCCTCCACTCCCACCCAGAGCATGTGTATAGACACCTTGTAAGTCTAAAGTGTAAGGGATGGAAGAGAGGAGGTGGGGTAACAAGGGGACATATTCTACTTTAGTGCTGTAGCATGTGCAAAGGGCAGCAGGTTCTTGGCCACCCAAGTGGACAGGGGGCTGGCGGAGGCTCTGGCTGCTAGTGATAGACTCTCAGGAAAAGACAGCGTGGCCCTCACTCCAGCCCTGAGGATGCAAAATCTTTGTCAGTGAAATGCATCTGGGATACTTCCAGGCCATCTGGCTTTCTTCATAGGGCTGAGGACTCTCAGCTACTGCCCTGCTACAGTAAAACAGAAAAAGAAAAAGCCTCCTCCCCCTCCAAACAAGAGTTCTGGAAGCATTTGCCACTTGGCACTGACTTGCCGTGCTCCCATTCTGTGTTCACACCTGATCTGAAGGCTTTGCATGTATTAAACCAACACTGGCACAGAGAAATAAGGGATCCCTTCAGGGATAAACTGCACCAGGGACAGCCTTCCATCCAGTGAGCAGGCTGCCTGTAATCTGCATTCACAGTACTTTCTGTTAAAAGAGGCCAGACAGCTCAGCACCCTCTGCAACCCCAGACTGTGCCTCACGGAAAATCTGGCTGTAATGACAGGATGGGAGCTTGGAAATGACATACAACAGCTTCCCATGTTGGGAGAGCAGCTAGCCGAGGCAGGTCCCCAGAGGCAGAGTTCTGGGCAGGCTACATTGCTACAGAACAGAAGAAGGCCAAGCTTAGTGAAGATAACAGAATTACTTTCACTAGAACCAGTGTTGTCTTTGCAGTCCAGACATGATGGATGCTGGAAAAGGCACCAATGATTCCCATCCCCGCTTCTACTGGGGAGCAGTACTATGGGTAGGCGCATAACATAACAGTCAGAGTCAAGCCAAGTGAAGAATCAATCAGGCTGAAAGAGAAACTGCCTCCAGGGATGACCTCAGGGGGTGCGTCCACACATGCAGGCACGTGCATGTGCACTTGCAGCAGATCAAGTAGAAGCAATGCAAATTTGAGCCGGGGCTTTTTGCCTCGGCACACATGCCTAGGCATGCACTGTGGTGTGGTGCAAGTTGTGCCACTTGGGGCAAAATAACCCTGCCCTGCCCAGGTTCTCCCAGATCTGCAGCCAGGGGGAGCTAGAACCTGGGGCCAGCACCTGTGCTGGCCCCAATAGTATAAAAAGCTGCCCTGTCCTGGCCCCATCAGTACAAAACGCTGCCCAGGCAAGTAGCTCAGGGCTACATGCTCTCAGGAGCTTCTGGGGTGAGGCCAGTGCCTCGCCCAGCCTTGTGGCACTCCCTGCTCCATCATCCAAGCTGGCTGGAGGACACCAGACCAGTTTGCTTTTCTACCATCCATCGCTGCCACCTCTACACACTCATGTGCCACACAATCCATCATGTTGCCCTCGCGTCCTGCCCAGACACCAAGTGGTGGGACCTGCTCGGTGAGGGCATGGCTGGGGCACCCCAGTGGCTGAGTCTATACTCTACCCTCATCCCACAAGCCACTGGGGACCT